CATACCTAGCAGCCACCAAGGCTTATGTGACAACTTCTGCTTATGCCAAAGCTTGTCATGGGACAGGTAGGTCACCCAACTGCACACAGACACCCAAGTACTCAAAGTCCTCTGTGACTCCTGAGAAGAAAAACTACTATCTGTACCCAAGTGGCAGAAACATCTCCCATTTTCTCACAAAAACAAAATGCACCAGCTAGGTACAGTGTGCATTCTGTTCACGAGCAGGCAGTTTCTGCTGTGTGGCTGGAGAGGCAGGCAGCATGATGCAGAAGCACACGCGGCTTTTCCCCCTCGCTAACATAAGCAGTCCTCTCCATCCTCGTGTGGATAATCCACTCCATGATCACCTTTTCCTCCCTAACCTGGCCTCTTTGTCTCAGTGGATGCCTTGGTCCTCCTACTTACTGTTCTTGACGCATAACACTGCAGCCAGCCATGCAAGTTAATTTTAACATTAGCCTAAGGAAACACTAGGGGAGAGGCAAATCTACTGCCAAATGAATCAAGAATTCCAAAGCTTCAAATGAAAAAAACAAAGGGCTCACTCTCATTTTCGATAATACCAGACACAGTTTGCTTTTGCTTAGAGGTAGGAACAGAAATTATCGCTAATTGTGGCCAACCTGGCAGTGCTGAGATAAATGGGATACACATTATGTGAGAATCCCAGACGGCTGACTCTCAGCTCATCAAGAGCTTTGAACTTGCCCTAAATTTCTGAATGCATAAAATTAGACTTGTGCGTGAAGGGATAGCCTTGAGTAGTTTCAGACCAGATGCAAGGAGACCAGTGGAAGAACTACAGAAATAGTTCATTAGGAAATGACCTACTGGGTCACTGTTAAACAGAGAATTGCACAGCACAATCCTAAGCATCAGAGAGGATCTATGACATACGTGTGACTGCATGCTTGTGTCACACACGGAGAGCTACTGTGAGGCCTGCAGCTCAGTGGTTCTGTAACAAAGATTCCAGCACAACAGACTCTTTGGTCAAGCTGTGTTGACTCTCTTTTAACTGTTCCCCTTGTTGATACCTGTGTGCTCCTTGTCCTAATAAGTCACGTGTTTATTGTAATGACAGTCCTGTGCGGCACAGCTAGCATAGCGACATTTCAGTGACAGGCCACACACATACACATGGCGGTGGTCCTGTAACATGTTACCTAGTGATGTCATAGGCAGCTTAGCCTATGGAAAGTGCACTGTAAGACTGCACAAGGACAAACTGCCTAATGACACACGTCTCTGTACGTATCTCTATTGTTAAGTGACACATGACTGCATGCCTACATTAAGAATGAGCAAATAAAGATTTTGGATAAGTATCTGAGAAACTGTCCAAAGCCCAGGAGTTCCACGGCACAGATTTGACAGGACCTGTGCTAACTCTCAGAAGACATTTTGGCTTATATTTTCTTGGCTGTATTCCCAATAACTGGATACATGACTTCTAGAAAATTGAGGACTTGCTGCCATCTAAAGGGGTCTTCTTCCTATAATGGATTTCAGTAACAATACTTTGCATATGGTGTTTACCATGCTGTCATTCCTACCCCCAATGTGGGTTTATCACCACCACCATGCCCAATAGCTAGATATATTTTTTCAAAAAGGGAATCATCTGATTTCTGAAAATATCCTTTGTCCCTGATTAAAGCCAAGCAGGTAAACATGGTCAGGGGACCGGAACCAGATTCTGGAATTACTGTTTCTGCAATACTAAGATTCAGATTTGTTATCTGGTCACGTCATTGTGTTTCTTGAGCTCTGACACCTGAGGGGTTAAGCTCCAGGAAACAAATATTTCTCCTTCAGGTTTGTGAACATTCTATTCCAAACAACACAAGTTTCGCTGTGTGTTTTTTTTTTTACGAAAGATGATGGAATTCCTGGAGAATGAGGCCAAGGCAGCAAGGTAATAATTCTGTTTAGGTGAGTAGGAGCACTGGTACCCATGAAAAAAATTAAAGACAATTATGATTGGAGAAGAAAAATATTCTGAGGTCTATCCAATTTCACGACTGCAAACTTGGGGAGGGAGGGATGGCACTTGAATTTTAAGACCAACCTGTTCACCAACAGCAGCTATAGAAAATGACTTGAAGTTGTGAAATTACCAGCCACCCTTGATGTTCTTGCCTCCTCCTCCTCCCGCTCCTTCTGTCTCCTCAAGCCCAGACTCTGGGAAGCCACTCTCCCCTTTCACTACTCCAGCTCCCAGGCTGGTGAAAGCTGCTGACAAGGGGAGAAAGCCCATCTGACCCGCCTTCAATGTTTGATTCCCAAGCTCCTTTTGGCTTAGTTTTTATTCAACTTCTATCACATATGTCCTAGAAAATAAATATTCCTGCTCCTTCATACACCTTTACCTATGCCCCTTAAACACGCTTCCCCCCTCCAACTTCAGGTTCATACGGCACTAATTTCTCCTCTTTCTCCTATTTTCAATAATTCCCTTTGCATGGAACTTTTCCTGTATTTCAAACTTATTCACTTTGCTTTATCCTAATAACAGTCAAAACAGAAAAAAACAAAAGAACACTGGGGTGGGCATTTGGTGCAGCGGTGAAGCTGCCATCCGGGAAGCCTGCATCTTCTATGTGAGTGCCCGTGCTGCAGCTGCAGCTCCACTCCACAGGTCAGCTTCCTGCTACTGCGCATCTGGGGCCGCAGTGGGTGATGCTCAGGTGTGAATTCCCAGCTCCTGGCTCCGGCCCGCTTCAGTCTGACTGTTGCAGGCATTTGGGGGAAGGGTGCAGTGTTTAAGAAATGTCTTTCTGTGTCTCAAAAAAAGAAAATTCATTAAAAGAGCGTTCTCCTTCCAATCTTAACCTGTAGAAGCTATCATCAGCTCTTTCCCTACACTAACTAAATGTTTCTATTTTCCTCAATAGTTTTCCCTGGAAATCTGCTGCAGGTCCAATCTTCTTTCACTGTCTCCACTCTCAAAACCCTTGTTGAACTGCTGCGGTCTAAGTGTACACGCTCAGCACTTTAATGGACCAGTCCTCTAAGGACGGGTGATCACCTCCTAGGTGTCAGATTTCGGTGGCCTGTCTGCAGGCTCCTCCTCTCTGCTGTCTTCACAGTTAATTTGTGACACTATTGCTGACCCCTTTCTAGAAATCTCCTCCCGTTCGTTCTATGATGCTAAGTGCTTCTGGTTTTTCTCCTCATACTCATTTTTTCCCTTGATTTCTTCCTCCTTCTTTCCCTTTACAACAAAGCGTTTTCCAAAGATGTATGCGCAATAACCTTTATTCTATATGGGTTCCACCTTTCGATGGCTCCAAAGCTGCATTTTTACATTTTCTTAATTTCTTTCCTCCAATCACTCCTCAGCTTATTCCTGGACCCACCACTCCACTGAACAAGCTCCCAGTAGGGCAATGCCCTGGACTCCCTCTCCCCCGACTTCTCAGCAGACACAGGCTGACCACCCATCTCCCTGCCTTGTGCTTCCCTGACACATTTCTCCCCCGTTTCTTCAACTTTACTGACAGTTTTCCTGCTTCTCAAGCAAGCCCAGGCCCTTTCTCTCAACTCAACCTTTATATATTAGACTCCCCTAACGTTATTATTCAGTATTCACATCTAGGTTCAACTGCATGGAGATGGAGAAGACTTCACAAACGTGTGCCTGTAGCCCACACTTCCTTGTGTCCCACGCATACGTGCGTATGCATATCCACATACACATCATACATGGACATTTGCCCCTTTGGTTCGTCTCTTACATGCTACAAAGAAATCCCAGACTCAGCATGCTCTGAACAAAAACAGGGTCACTTCCCAGATCTGGTTTTCCTTCAGCACTGTAGGGAAGAGAAGGGTTGGAGCCATGCTCCAAAATGAAAGTGACTCTGAAATTGAGCAATACGCCCACCCATCCCCTTGCATAAGAAAAACCAGTCATACATGACTCATCCTTTATCTACCTCTAGCATCCATTCATCATTCAATCCTCAGTGTCTCTCAGAGCTGTCTGTGCCTCTTCACTGACACATCTCTATTCCAATCCAGAAGAACATTATTTCATATATAATAATGGTAAATATGCACACCAGCCCCTATTTACTTTTAAAATATTTTTTAAAGTAATGTCAAATTTCCAATGTCTCTCTTTACCAAAATACAGCCACAATCCAGAAATGAGAGGCAAAAAAAAAAATTTCTTAATAGTGAGGCAGACTGGTTACATGTACTGTTGATCATTTTGAATTCATTTTGATTGGAAGGCTGGCATATACAAGGGATTTGCATTATTTAAAAAATGAAGGTTTCTTATTTAACAGTTAAGGGTAACCAGTTTAACTAGGCTCTGCATATGGGAGGGAAACAACTGGTTTTTGAGGCTTCCATTGTGTGCCTGCTCAGTACTTACAGCAAGAAGTTAATAATGATAATTCCAATTTATAGGAGCCTATTCTACTTGATAAAAGTCTTTTCATGTTAGAGATGCTTAGAATAGATTTCAGAAAGTTTTGTATTCACAAAATTTAAGAAAAATAGTTTGACATATTTATCCAAAATGACATCATTTTTGGACCAAGCCGAGTAAATGAGATGTGGCTCCATATTTCATATATAAACATGCATTGCCCATACAGGAGACAGGATGGGCAGTTCCTGCACTTCCTTTGAAGGATTACAGATGATGGCCAGGAAGCAGTAAAATTATTTCAGTTAAAAATCTATAAGAGATGACTTGAAATTTCTTAGAAAAATTAGGAGGGAAAGAAAGTCTATCTGTTTTTAAACATCCTACTTCAGTGACGTAACACGAGCAGCTCTGCCTTCTTCAGAATTTAAACTGGGATTACTGGACTCATGACAAATGGGTCACGGCAAGATAAATGGGACCAAGCAGACAATAATAAAAACCATCCAAAGGCAGTAAGAGCTTGACTGCTGAGCAGAATCAATTGCACGCACACTGGTGATTACGGAGGGTCTGGAATGAAAGTGACTCCGTGATCTCACTGTGACAGTACCTGCTGTGGGCGAGTTAGCATGATGAGACTTTTTTGGCAGGTTGAAGATCTGTTCGCCAGGGTCAGGGGGAGGAATTGCATCTTGCCCTTGTCGAGCCTCCACGGGATCATACTCCTTGCCATCGTAGTTGGCATCATAGAATTTCTTAAACCACTGAATAAAATCCAGGTTGTCTTGGAAGCGTCCTTTCACTAGCTTCTCCACTGGGATTACCTATAACACAAAATCACCGCGTGAATCAAAGATCTCAGCTTGGTCTGTTTCGATACAATAAGAGTACTAAGAAAATAGAATCATTTCCTACAAGTGCAATTTCATGATGGTAACTCATTTTTTTAGCCTGTTGCTAAACACTCATTTTAATAGTAAATTAAATTAAATCTTGGAATATTTAATACTTTTGAACAAACCGGACAAGAGCAGGCATTTTCTCTGCTATCAAGAAAGGCTGGTCTCCCTCACAGTGCATCCACTGTCAAAACAGCTCCCCACAAAAACATATCTGGGATATTGTGCCCTCTCCAGAATGATGGGTCCTCCCTATTTCTTGATAAGACTGAGTCCAGCAGTGCTGCAATAAACTCTTACAAGGAATGCAGCTACTAAGGAGTGCAAAGGAGTAAGATTCCTATCAGTGAACATGTACTCCAATCTAATGGTTTAAACAAAAAGAGTTTTCCCAGAGCCTATTTACAACGTAGAGACAAGAATACACAAAATAAGCCATGCCTGTAAACTCTTGGGTTACCCAGGAGCACAGCTGGCCTGCTAGGGGTGTACATGAGAAATGGGGGCCAGCCAAGAGGTCAGAGTAGCACGCTGGAAGACATGCCCAGCACCATGCCAGCTTCCTACCCATGAAAACATACAGTGACTGTTCCTCCTAACAGCCAAAAGGGAAGTCTTAGAAAGGAAAGTGTCAGGATTTGGACAAAGCCGACATGCAGTTTGATTGCTCTGGTTCAGTGCCTACTCCTTTGGGGAGGGATATGGAGAGGTGTCTTGCTGTGGGAATTGTGCTCCCTGCCCCGTTTTTACTCTCTCCACCTTTGGGTGGGAATGCTAGTTGAACGTGAACCATGAAGACTGATGGGGCTGGGGTGGGTACCAGATGGGGCGTGGGTGCATGAGCAGGGGAGTACCACAGTGCTGAAAGAACACAGCTTCACCGTGTGAGGACACGAATGGAAGCTGTGTGAAACGTTCAATGGGGCTTTGCATCACAGGATCTATAAACCACTGTTCCAGTAAGACCGGGCCTCTCTGATCAACATGTAAAGACCCTTAACAGCAACGACAACTTGAAAAAAAAAAAGTGATGCGTTTAGGCCATCCATCAAAATACAGCATTACTAATAAACTAAACCAAGCATAGAACCCAATCAGGAGAAGTACACGTTAGGAATAAACCCCGCTGGCTGTGAGGCTTCCTCTGGTCTCAGGGACTTCGGGGCTGAGCTGTCTCACCTGCTGCTTCTCCAAAACTTCAGCGTGACTCAGGAAGGATCCCCACCACACACACCTTTCACTGGGTTCTCCGTGGACAACTGAACGACTTTCAAGATCTCTGAGTTTTGTGTTTTTGTTTGTGCTGATGTTATTGGAACATTACTGGTTTCTTAGAGGGTCTGGCTCTTTGACGAACATCCTCAAGTTTATTGCCAGACGTGCTTGTGAGGAGTTTCCGATGACAGTGATACATGAGCCTTTAAGGAAAAGCCCTTCTTTTTTGCTGACTTCATTTTACACGGCATTAGTTAAAAAATGTGAAGAGGCAAGCGGAACTTAGCATAGAACCTTCTGCCACCTCACCAGGCTACGGCAGACACGAGCAGAAGCAGGCAGTGGTGACTCTCATGACACTTCTGGATCCAGTCCCAGCATTCTGAAGCCAGAAGGCTAGCCAGGGCCAGCAAAGCCAGGCTCCTCCACTGCAAGAATTTTTCTTTGATACTTAAAAAAATTCACTTATTTATTTGTAAAACAGAACAACAGAGGGAGAGGTGGAGAAATCAGAGTACAGACCGGGGCTATCAACGATAATCAATCTCAAAATGTCAATTTCACTCTGCTTATTAGTTACCACAAACCAGGGAAAACACATACTTGCCTTCCGGGGACTGATCTATTTACTAAGCATCATGCTCTCCAGTTGCCTCTTGTAGACAGGATTCTGTTTTGGGGCTGTGCAATATCCCGCCATGTATTATATTACACATAATATATTACCTATATTGCATAATCTTTCTATCTGGTCATTAGTTGATGAACATTTGTCTTAATTCCATATCTTATCTATTGTGAGTGGAGCTTCTGTGAACATGAGAGTACAGACAACTATTTCATGTGCTGATCTGATTTCTTTTTGTTACATTCCCGGGGGAGACTGGCTGGGACATGTGATGGACCCATTTGCACATTTCTGAAGTGTCTCCTTACTGTCTCCATAATGGTTGCACACCAGTTTACTCTCCCACCAGCATTCTCAGTGTGTCAGGTACCTTCCCCCCATGTCCTCCCCAGCATTTGTTATTGATTCTTGGATGACAGTCATTCTAACCACTGTGAGGTGAAACCTTGTGATTTTCATTTGAATTTAATGACAACATTTTTACATGTGTGTTTGCTGGCAAGTTTTTTTTTTTTAAAGATTTATTTATTTTATTGCAAAGTCAGATACACAGAGAGGAGGAGAAACAGAGAGGAAGATCTTCCGTCCGATGATTCACTCCCCAAGTGACCACAACGGCCGGTGCTGCGCCGATCTGAAGCCAGGAACCAGGAACCTCTTCCAGGTCTCCCACACAGGTGCAGGGTCCCAAAGCTTTGGGCCGTCCTCGACTGCTTTCCCAGGCCACAAGCAGGGAGCTGGATGGGAAGTGGAGCTGCTGGGATTAGAACCGGTACCCATATGGGATCCCGGGGCGTTTAAGGCGAGGACTTTAGCTGCTAGGCCACACCGCTGGGCCCGCTGGTAAGTTTTTAGTCTAGGGTCCAGCGTGGTAGCCTAGTGGCTAAATCCTCCCATTACATGTGCTGGGATCCTAAATAGAGGCCGGTTCATGTCCCAGCTGCTCCACTTTCCACCCAGCTCTCCCTGCTAGTGACCTGGGAAAGCAGTTGAGGATGGCCCAAGGCACTGGGAGTCTGCAACCACATGGGAGACCCAGAGGAGGCTTCTGGTTCCTGGTTTCGGATTAGCTTAGCTCTGGTTACTGTGGCCACTTGGGGAATGAACCAGTGATGGAAGATTCTTTTTTTTTAAAAAAATATATTTTTATTTTGAATTATGTGGTATAATTTTGTATAGGCTGGGATTCCCCCCCCCCAACTCCCACCCCTCATCAGATTTTTCCCATTTTGCTACAATAGTGTAGTCTTTCATAAGGAATCATAATTCTATCGGTTTCTTATTTAAGTGTACCCCGACATTGTTGGTACAGACAATGTCAGACAGTCCAGAATCCCCTGTCTACACATGTCCAACAGTTTCATTGGGATTCCATCTTTCGTCTGGATGCAGGGATGCATGTTCCATTGTACCCCCATGTCTGTATATGATGGACCCCAGTACTCCATCACTATACATTCAGTGGTGGAAGATTTCTTCTCTCTGTAAATTTGATTTTCCAATAAAAATAATAAATAAATAAATAAATCTTTTTTAAAAAGCTTTTAGTTTAATGGTGACAAAAATCTCCTGAAATAAAAGTACAGCATGTTAACCCTATGCTTGTGAGGCCAGCACCGCCTACTGGAGTCAGGTTCAAGTCCCAGCTACTCCACTTTGGATCTAGCTTCCTGCTGAAGTGCCTGGAACGGCGCTGTGCAAGACGGCCCAAGTTCTTGGGCTGCTGCCACACATGAGGGAAATGTGCATGAAACTCCTGTCTCCTGGTTTGGTCTGGTCCAGCACTGGCTGTTGTGGCCCTCTGGGGAGTAAGCCAATACATAGAAGGTCTCTTTAGTGTCTATCTGTCTCACTTTGTCTTTCAAGTAAATGAAAATATCTTTTTGAAAAAGAAAACATAAGAGTTTAGGGTTGATGACAATCTATTGGTGAAGTGCTAAAACATATTCTTTTGACACATATCTGGCGTTTTCCATTTCTGCTCAAAACTTTTTAAAGACTAGTACATGTATGTAGGTACAAATGAGTCTCTTACCTTATCAACATTCATCCGCTTAAATGATGCCTGCAGAAGCTTAAAGTTGTGAATATATTCATGCTCCAACTTTGCTTGAAACTTTACTTTCTTCAAACTAATGCAGCCTGGAAAGAGCATGTCCATGAACTGGCAATAGGCGGCTCCTGGAAAGACACAAGGAAAGCACCGGCCTGAGTCTCTGGCCTCACACAGACCTGACAGAGCTGCAGGGAGGAAGGGGATTGTGCTAACAGGAACCAACAGCCCTCCAAGCTCACCCTTCCTGGCCGTGAGCCCCAGCCATCATGGTCCTTCTAGCTCTTTGTCCAGCAGGGCTGCGGGCTGGAAGGAAGAGCTCATGCCCACTGCACACAGCACCTGCCATTTCCCCAGTCCTAATTGCGAGGTATTGCACTGCAGGCCGCAGAGTCTCACCAGGTTCATGATCAAAGGACAGAACAGGGAAGCAGGGTAAGAATAGCTTTCTGGCAACACAATTTTCTTCTATCTTAGCTATTACCTACTTTAAGTCATTGGAGTAAATGCATTTGAGACAAAGAGCTGACAATGTAAACAAGAGATAAAGTTTTCATAAAACACACAGCTTCAGGTGGGCACCCAGCTTGGTGGTAAAGTTGTCTGTTCGGATGCCCACCTCCCTTGATGAAGTGCCTAGGTCTGATTTCTGGTTTTACCCCCTGGTTCCAGTTTCCTGCCCATGAAGACCCTGGGGACTGGCCAAGTGATGCGGTTCCTGTCATCACATGGGGAAACCTGGATTGCCTGGATCCTAGCTCCAGCTCTGGTCTGGCCCAGCACTGGGTATCATGGGTATTTGGAGAATGAACTTGCAGACAGGAGTTCTCTGTGTCTCATTGTGGCTACTTCTTAAATGAATTAAAATTAAAATAAATATGTAGTTAAAAAATACACATATACCTGAGCTATTTCATACCCATCTTGCAAAATGACTTAGGTGAACTAAAGACTTCTAACACCAAAAATGGTTGTTTACCCGCTTAATTCCAACCTAGAGCAATGGGGTTCCTATATTATGAGGGATGAAGACACAGACATCATAACACTCACAGGATTTCTGACTCATGCTGCTTATGACTGAAATAAATGTGAGTGAAACGTTCAATGAGTCCCCCAAGGGAACCAGGACTTAGAAAACATACAAAGAGCTTGCACAACATGACCATTTCAACTAGAAGATCCTGGTCAGATCATGCATGCTGTTCCTACCTTCTTCATAGAAGAAGCTAATGGCATCTAGAAAAAGAAATCCAAAGCAGGAATGAGTCTTCCCCTTTTACAATTGAGAAAAGTAACTGTGGGGCAAGCAGGGGCCAGGCAGCCATTTGCTGTTCTCCTGGTCTGTTGGGGTGTCCCCAATCCCCTAGCACACCCCATCATCTGGGCTTGAGCGAGGAGCTCCCTTCCCCCTACAGGCCACTTTCCTTCACCTGGCAAGAACTTGCTTTGTTTCTTTGGTCAAAGGCTGAGTATCATTACTAACATGAGCAATCCAAGATGACAGGGGACAAGACACCAGGAATCCAGGAATCCAGTGGCTGTGAGAACCATGTTGGGTGCAATCCACTTTTGTAGTAAGAGCACAGTGATGCCAACACAGACCCTGATGAAATCCCCCATTCAGTGATGGTACTAGTGGGTCCTGCCAAACAGATGGACTATCTTAAAAGCTCACCAAATGCGTACAACAAACCAAAACACAACACAACAGAGGCTGTCAGAGAAACATCTGGGGCCATCAGCCAGCGGCCTCATACTTGGCTCTTCCTATACAGAGCCACCAGATGGAGCAAATCCCAACCAGTGTCAGTAACTTCATTCTCATCTGGCTAGGAAATGCTACTGCCTCAGGGCCTACTCTTTCAAGGTAGTTTGTTATTCTCACCTATGGAGACCCAGATGCTGTATGTTCTTACAAACCAGCCAACCAAATTATTCACCATTCAAATATAAACGAAAGCAAGAATCATCTCTAAGGGTCAGTATTCAGAGAAGATTACTGGTATATGTCATTCTAGTATTTTGTACTAGGTATGTACAGGGGCCCTATACATAACTATCTTAAAAAATGTAAACTTGTTTTAAAAATGTGATCATGTTATACCTATTTTATGTAAATCTTTTCTTGACATGATTTGACTACAATTTCCTTTATGGGTCATTTAACAGTCTACTAATATCTGTAATAGCTTTCTGATTAGCAACTCTCCCAAACCAAGATTACATAAATATTCATGCATATTTTCTCCTTTAAGTACTTCCACAGTCTCAAGTTTTATATTTAAATTCTAAATCCATGTGGAATTTATTTTGGACTGTGATATCAAGTGTGGTTCCAATTTCAGTCATTCCAAATGTTAGTGGAAATCTGTCATTTTTGGCTCCACTGCATTTGGACACCTTCCTACCTGGGGAGGTGCCCACAGGGCCCTGCCTCCCACTCCAGGAGCTGAAGGCGGACAGACGCCCCTCTCTGACCATCGGCAACAAGGACACAGGCCCTGCAGAGTGTAGTTGTGGAGCCGATGGAGGGTCTCGAGCTCAGAGCTGCACCTCACTCCTGGGCCATGAGCTGTGTCCCCGCTCTCTAGCCTCTGTTGGTCTCTGTCATCTCCAGCATTTGTTTTTCTACCAAATAATTCTAAGCTACTCAATAGCTTCCCCGCAAATTCCTCTTCTGCTTAAACTTGCCAGGATTCGCTTCTGCTATTTTCATCCCAAACTGTCAACGGATAAAGTTCACTGGGTGTTAAATAATATCACTGAGCAGCGAAATTGTACCTTTTTTGCTGATGAGTAGTTTTTACCTATATATTACTTTTCTAATATATGAATTTAGGTCTTCTTCTAGAATTTCTTTTAACTTCCTATCTTTGTGATAGTTCCACATTCTAAAGTTATTTAAATTCTGTATTGTATTATTCTCTGTGGGATAATTTCCCCTTCCTTCTTTATCAAAAATTTTCTTCAAATTTCATCTTGCATTTATTCATTATGTTTTTATGACTGTTATCAGGGCATATAGCAAATAACAGATTTTAATAAACATTAACTATGTACCAATTAGTAACATCTTTGAGATGTATCATAAAATTCACCATTTTGAAATGTACATTTCATTGTGACTTCACAGATTTTTACATCCTGGTATCAGTACCAATTCCAGCACACACATTTATTAATTTAAAATGCAACTTTATAATCTTTAGCAAGCACTCAATATTCTCTCTTTTCTCCAGGCTCTGGTAATCACTAATCTAATTTCCTGTCTATGAATTTACCTATTCTGGAGATTCTGTAGAAATGGAATCACACAGTATGTGGCCTTCGTGTGTAGTTTCTTTTTCTTAGCAAAGCCTTTCTAAGGTTCATCAATTCTGTGGCTTGTATCAGGTCTTGCTTTCTTTTTATCCATGAATAATATTTCACTGTATTCTGTACTATGTAGGTACTCATGGGCTCACAGACAGTCGTAGGCTATTCTGAACAATGCTGCTATGAATACTTGTGTATAAGTTTTTCGTGTGGTCACATGTTTTCAGTTTTCTTGGATATCCGCCTGGAAGGATTCCCTGGGTTATATATGGAATTCATGTTGAAGAATGGCTAAACTGTTTGCCAAAGCAGGTGCACTATTTTAATTTTTCACTGGCAATATATGAGAACTTTAATTTCTCCGCATGTTCATCCACATCTGTTATTGTTAGTAATTTGACTCCAGTTGTTCTACTGCATGCAAAGTAGTAGCTCATTGTGGTTCAGGTTTGACTTTCCTAATATCGAATGACATGATGTAATCACGTTATGACGAAATCTTCCCCATGTGACTTTTGGTCATTTGTACATCTCTGAAGAAATTTCTATGCAAATCTTTCGCCTATCTTAAAACTGAGTCATCTGTTTATTGTTGGGTTCCAAGAATTCTTTCTGTAGTCTAGAGACCAATCCCTTTACCAAGATAATTACATTCTGTCTTGTTCCGTGGATTGTCTCTCCACATTCTTGCTAGCATTCTTTGAAGCACAAGTCTTCAAATTTTGTAAAATCTAATTTACCGAACTTTTCTTTTGTTGATGTGCCACTATTGTCATATCTAATACATCATGTCTAGCCAAAGATTCACACCCATACGTGCTTCTAAAAACTGTTTAGTTTTTTCTTATAGTTGAGTTTAGGATTCATTTTGAGTTAGTTTTTGCATATTATTTGAGGTTGGGTTCAACTGCATGAGACTATCCAGTTGTCAGGGTATTTCTTGGACAGACTATTTTCTCTCCATTTAATTGTCTTAACATTTTTGTTGAAAATTAATGAACTACAAAGTATGGGCTTATTTCTGTATTTTTTTTAAAATAATACCTTTATTTAGGTTAGTATTAGCCTAATCTTTTTTTTTTGTTAAGATTTATTTATTTTTATTACAAAGTCAGATATACAGAGAGGAGGAGAGACAGAGAGGAAGATCTTCCATCCGATGGTTCACTCCCCAAGTGACTGCAACGACCAGTGCTGCTCCGATCCGAAACCGGGAACCAGGAACCTCTTCCAGGGCTGTACTCCACTACTTTTCCAGGCCACAAGCAGGGAGCTGGATGGGAAGCGGAGCTGCCAGGATTAGAACCAGCGCCCATATGGGAACCTCGGGCCATTCAAGGCGAGGACCTTAGCTGCTAGGCCACGCTGCCGGGCCCTTATTTCTGTATTTTACATTCTTTCCTAAATATCCACCCCAGGTCAGCTATGTATATAATCTTAGGATAAGCTTGTTAATTTCTGTAAAAATAAAAGCTGACATTGTGACAGAGTTTGCCCTGAATCTAGAGGGATCAACATGAGCAGTATTGCCATCTTAACAATATTGTCGTATGGTGTTTAAATACAGGATTTTCCCCTTCTTTAATTGCTCTAAACAATGTATTATAATTTTCAGTGTATAAATCCTTGTTAAATTTCTTTGTATTTTATTTGTATTTTATTTATTCTTCATATTTTATTTTATCTTTACATAGACCTGCGTCCTAATTTTGTTTTCAGATAGCTCTTTTATTGTATACAAATACAAATGGTTTTTGAATATTCGTCTTGCATCGTGTAACCTTATTAACTTGTTTCTTTTTCTTGTCTC